GTTCCTAAATAGCTACATCTTCGTTGTCTCTCCTCTCACCTTCCGCAGGGCTGGGGCCATCTTATTGGTCAGAGTTCCCGCTACAATCATGACATCCGACTGGCGAGGACTTGCTCTGAACACGACCCCGAAGCGGTCCATATCGTAGCGAGGAGCGGCGAAGTGCATCATCTCCACGGCGCAGCACGCCAAGCCGAAGGTCATCGGCCACATAGATGTCTGAAGGAAGTGGGGACAAATCAATGAAGAGAAGAAACAAGGAAAGACTATCCAAAATATGCTTTTTTATTTTACAGATCAGAAATTTCAAACTGGCACTGAACCGTCTGATCATTTTTGAGATGCTTATTTTTCCTCAGAGTCCAAGTAGAGTAAAAGAAAACATGCAATTACCAAGAACTTAAAATTTGTTTTTAACTCGCAAAACTGTCCTTTGTTTTAACAAAAACTCACACTGTGCATCCCGGAGACAGATTAAAACACAAGCTCTACACGAAAACAATCGACATCCTCTCAGTACATACCGTGCGTCCCCAGCTAACCAAGTCGTCCAGCTTCGTCACGATATATTCCCCTTTGCTGCTGGCTGCTGCTGATGGTTTGGCTGCTGCCACTGCAGTGCTCTTTTCTCTGACGGGCACCAAACTGCAACAAACGCAGAGGACAACAGTTTTACCAACAGCCCTGTGATGGCTCAACATGTTACAACTGTATTCTAGGTCAGCTCACCTTGTGCTGGTGTTTTCATTTTTAGAATTGTTTCGCAAACTCCTGAGCTGAATTGCCAAAACTGAAATGGGCCTAAAAGAAAAAAGTGAAAGAGAGAATAAACAATAAGAATTCAGAGAAGAAATGTTGAACTTATAATTCTACGTGTAAAAAYGCCCATTAAACATTAAAATTAAAAAGAGCACCAAAAGGTACCAAMGGAAGACAAGTGCGTTATAATACTATGTTAACAAATACATGCAGTGTTGGTGCATCTGAGGGATTGACGGTTATGTTATTTCTGTCTGAGCTTCTAAACTCTGACCAGCAGATTAGCTAAACTAAACAGGAATAAATACTGCGGTCTTGCTTTTCAGTGTGCATTTAAGTATTGGGTTATTCTCTTTGATGAGAAACAATTTGATGTCCAAAAATATGTAAACATTCACAAATAAAATAAAATATAATAAATAATAATAATAAAAAAAATACACAATGCTGTAGTAGCTGAAGTCCAAGAAACAAGTTCCACCGAAAATAAGATTAGGAGGCTTTTACCTTGTCGAGAATGAGCCAGACAAGGCCAGGCGAGGTGCTGCAGCTGCAAAACAGAACAAAACAGAACAAACACAATATACTTATAAAAAAGGGATGGAACAAAAATAAAAATACAATAATTATCTTTATTAATTTTGCTAGAAGTAGATATAACTAGATCATCATCACCACCACAAGCTTCAATGGCCCTTTAAAGTAACCGTTACAGTATTTACTAATAAGTGTATGATACATGTGTACCTGTCAATAACAAAAATAAGCACAATGTCGTTTTAAGTGTCTAAAGACATTGCCAATTTGTAGAGCATTTTCAGATGAGTTATTAAAGTACTAACTGTCAATCGTTGCAGCATTATAACTAAAATACATTTTTGAAACCCTAAACTGGAAAATCTGTTTTTACTGCGCAGTCGTAGTCACACAGTGCAAACGAAGAGTTCGGGTTAGCTCACTGGCAATATAAAATTAATTATTACAACACAACCACTCTGGTTACTTTGAAAATATAATTACCTGTTGCATTACTTAGGTATTGTGCTTGACAGATACCTATTTAGTGCCTGGACTCTGATGCGTCACTAGCTGACCTGGTTAGCCGCTACGCTAACAACAAGGTCAGTGTGCGCGTTAAGTAAAAGTTAAAAACATGATCCAAAACACAATCGAATTATGTAGTATAACACTTTTAAGTGCCCATTTTAAATAATCGTGGCATCACAAGACTGACAAATCAACAACATTGACAAAAACTAAAGGACTGGTATGAAAACACCACTTACTCATTAACGCCGCCATCTTTGAAATGCGCCTCTTGTGTTGTACAGTAGAGGGCGCTGCCGCTACGTATGTTTTCAAAAGAGCCTCGTTTTTCATTCAACTAGASAGGAAGCTACCACATCCGTCACTGGTTTCATTTCAAAATAAAAGCATGTAATCATTCAGCAGATCTATGAAGTATTTTAAATTGAAAATACTTGTTCCTAAAATTGTCGGAAATTTGAAAAATTTCACTATCGTGTTAATCTTTGAACAGATAATATATGATGACAAATATGTTGTACTTGATCTAGAGGGAAAAATGCACTTGGTGTTTTAAATTAAAGTTAAAATTGTGAAACCAGTGATCTTATTATTACAAAGCCTGATTCAAAATATACTAGAGCAAAACGTTTGAATGACATAGTTCAGGGAAAAATATCTCGAGGTAAATTTATTTCAATTGTTAACAAAAAAACATTTGCTATATTTGAAATAAGTAAAACAGACCTGAAGTTTTATTTTGAAATCCAAAACAGGAAGCTAACTTTTCAGTCTAGTCAGCTTGAAATCGCCGCTAAAGTTAGGAGATTTTTTTTTTTTCCTTCTCCTCCCAAAGTTTCCTTACCTTCCCAGAAAGTTATGACAAACTGCAGCGGGACTGGACGAAGACGAGCAGAAGGTAAGAAGAAAACTCGGCGGATTAATTTCTGTATTGATACATTTTTATCAGCTCGAACAATTTTATTTTAATAAAGCTGCACTAATTATTGGTACTGTAACGTTTTTTTTAAGAAACCCTCCGGTGCTCACTGTGTTTTAAAAACTACCCATTTACCAGCCCATTGGTTTATTTTTATTACAGCTGCATTAAGGCCGGAAACGTTTGTTTATGCGTAATTGTCATTGTATATAGGACTATTTAAAAAACTCATTAATCTTTTTTTTCCTCGTTAAAACATTAAACAGATATAGGCTCATTCACTCCCATGATTAATTCTAAACGAACTATTTTTTTTATTATTCAGATCCATTTAAATTATTTTTCGACAATCTGTTTTAATTTTAATCTTTCTTAAAAGTCCTCATTCTACAGTTTAAAACATCTAGTTTATAATGCATTTTGAGCTTAAAATGTTATCTTTTTGTATTTCAACATGTCAATGTAGCACAATTTATGCATTTTTAAAAGCAAGTTTAACCTATTTAATCCCTCTTGCTGGCTTCTTGCTCTTATCTTTGTCTCTAAAGCCTGTATTGTAGAGACAAATAAAGTAAATGTAGAGCAGATGGAGGAGAACCTTTTTTTTTGTGCCTGGATCACTGTTGTGGGTGAGGCTGCTTCATGAGATGGAAATCCCCCCCACACTCCCTACAACCCCATTGTCAGAGCTGTTAAAACATCCTCCCAGTTTTCTGGCTCACCGTGGAGTCCGTCATCAGTTCTGTCATGTTCAGATATCTACAGAAGCAAAATAGCTGAAATGTAATAAATCTGTAACAAAAAGGAAAAACTCCTAAATAGCTGCATCAGAGTGGGTATGTTTGATTAATTGTTGTGGCGAGGAAGTTTTTACTCTGTAATTTGAACATCCATGAATTTGTGTTGTGTTTTGTACACACAAAGCCTTTTAGAACTCTGGGACGTCATCAGAGCAACAAAACTTTATCTTTTGTCCTAACTGGAAGATAAWCAGAGAAAGTCGTTTTCACCGATGGTGCAGAGAGTTACAGATAAGACCGAACAACGCTGAGCTGGATAAAGTGTTGATGGAGTGATATCACTTTATTTGAAGAGGCGTTAATGTAGAATGATTAACCCTGCAGAAGAAGAACCGTGGTGGACATGAAGTTTATATCGAGTGGGATTTTTAAATGGGGTTTTATTCAGAAGTGATGGTCACTGAGTCAGATTTCAGAGGGTTTAATACATATTGTGAATTAAATCTTGCTTTGTTGAATGACTACAGTTGTAATCATTTAATTTTAATGACCTGCGTGATGTCAAAAGTATTGGGATTAACATCAAGAATGTAAACAGTGATGTTTCTGCAGGATTATTGGATTAACGAGGCAAATTCAGGTTCATAAATTACCTGGGTCTCTCAAGTGAACACTGATTACATTAAGTATTAAGTATAAGGAAGTAATGTGTCTAAATACGTGATTTTTCTAAGTTTGTTATTTTACATTTGTATGTGCATCGTCTATGATTAGAAAATAACTACTAATTATGCATTGTTCACTACCAAAAGTCTACACTATAATTTGCAATAAATGAACAAAATCAGCAGTCGTGTTTTGTTGCCAGTAATTGTGCCAATAATAATGTCATCCAGTGATGAATACTTAGTTGGGAAATGATCACCGTAGAAGGGAGAACAATTAAATCTAAGATACCAGGTCAAAAGCGTATAAAGATTAAGTTTTTCTCTTTTGTTTCTGAAAAGAAACAATGACTAAAAAWTTTTAGCTGCGAGGATGGGAGTCGACAGAAGTAGAGTCATTTTTAGGGTGGAGATGGTTAAAGCAAAAAGTTGGAGCTAAGCTCAAATGTGGCGAGATCTTCCGAACCCTAAAGGGAGAATTTCCCAAAATGGCTTCATCTGAACGTCATAACTGGGATTCTTCTATTTGCTGCTACATGATGCAGTTTTTATAAAAACCCAGATGAGTTTGGTTTATATTAACACCCAATCATGTATTTATTATTTATTTACCGTTATTTAACCAGCCAAATCCCATTGAGATCGCAGATCTTATTTTCAAGGGCGGCCTGGGTCTGAAGGCAACCTATTGCACATTTGGGGTGGGGTAAACCGGAGTACCCTGAGAAAACCCACACAAGCACGAGGAGAACWTGCAAACTCCACACAGAAAGATCCCAGGTCTGAACCAGGGATCGAACCCAGGACTTTCTTGCAGTGAGGCATCGGTGCTAACCACTGAGCATTGTGCTGCCCAAAATGATGTAATGATGTAGAAATTAGGGTAAAGCATAAAAAATCATGAAAAACCTTGAAAAATCACAGTTATTTTACAGCTACTAGGGCTTTAAATTCTATGAACTATAAAAAAAAGCTTGGTATTAATTTAAAACAAATGATAGTTTAGTAGTAAAGACCAGGATTGACTACAAGTTAATATAAAGTTTGTATTATTCATAGTTTTAAGCCTGATCTTCCCTAAAACATGACAGCAAATCTGCACCATGTCGAACTTTTAACCTCGTCATGTCAAAGACGTGAATTTCCATTGGTGCATTTTTTTTTTACACACTGTTGTGAATAACGGGGTGTACAACTGATGCTCATGGTCTGCTGACTCTGCGTCAGGTGAGACAGGTGAGCTGGTGTAGCAGTTACAGTTTTTACTGGTGCAGAAATACACCCCGGTGAAGCTGGTTATTTAGTCCAGATCCGGTCTACTTTTATAATCAGGGATTCTGAATGATACAATTATTAGTGAGAATAGCAAGAACTTCAACAAAAGTTGGGGTTACGTTTGGAGTTGAAATTTGTCACGTTATAACTTTTCGTGCAAAGCTGTCTCAACTAAAAGATGACGGTGAGCTGATTAACGTCTCGACCTAAAGCTCATCTTCAGCAGCTCTCTGAATCTCTCAGGGGAAATTGTTCTCCTGCAACAGGACTCTGGGGTTTGACTTACCGCTGCCGCCTTAAAAATAACTTCAGTGAAAGTGAAGTCAGAGGTGTCTGCAGGTCAGCGTCACACTCTGATACTCTTTAATGTTTTTTTTTAAATAAAACTCTCTGTTGTTCTCCTGCTTCGTGCATTCTCACCTTATTTACACCCCAGAGTTGACGGAGAACAGTTCATTGAATTAGAAACTAAAACGAATTTTGCGTTTGTGCTCGTGAGTCCTGCTGCTTGATAAACCGCATGCCTGCTGTATTTTTAGATTTATTACAAGTGGTTTTAATTTTAGCAAGTCTGCGAGTTCCTCAGAGCGCTGCAGTGACATGACGCAGTCAGGACGGGGAGACAAACTCAGTAAAAACTGGTTTTAGTTTGACAAAAAGAGGCTAAATGTTGCAGCTACACTTTTGTTAGTTTTATGCAACTTCTTCAATTAAAAGTTACTAAAATCATGGAGTGTATAGGTTGATTAAACATGAGTTTCATTTAAAAAAAGGTGGACACAAACAGATCTGCTATCAAAAAGGTTGAACTTTTCTGATTCATTCACCCTGCCTGATGTGAACGGACGTATGGACAGTGTTGTATAAAGTACCTGAAAGTGATACTTGAATAAAAGTACAAGTA